TATTTTTATTGGCAGTCTTATGCAACCACCTGGAGGAGATTGTGTCTATGCCGTCATACTAGCCAGTTAGGAGATAGAGAAAAGCCCAAGGTGCTTCAAGAGGACAGAGTGAAAGGGGGGAAAGAACATACTTGGCAGCAGCCCCGTAGCTAAGGACTTTTTAGGGAGGGGGCCTGGGGGGGGCACCTGCTAATCCAATCAAAGGCTCCAGGGCAAGGGCTGCAGCAGCCACAGCCTCTGGGTCCAGCTCCCCCCCCCAAGGAGCCCCAGTGCTTCTTCCCGTGGCACAGCACCAGGGACAGCCTCTGAAATCTCTGCCCTTGTCCTCCCTGCCAACAGGCTGCCAGGCAATCAGGGGGAGCTGGGGTAGGGGAGCCGAGGCTCAGGAAGGGGGCCCATAAAAAATGCTAGGGGGCCGGGCCCCGTGGGCCCCACGTTAGCTACGGGCCTGCTTGGCAGGCAAGTTTGGAATAAACAGCACAGCTCACCCTAACCCTTAAAAGCCAGTCTGGCTGATCCTGTGAATACGCAATTAGATGAATCATCTTTGATAATGGGAAAGGGAGAAAGGAGTACAATTAAACCAGGGCTTGGGAAGGGACAGAACAAACAGCATGTGTGCATAGGACTGACCTTTTAATACCTGGACATGCGCATGCTTAAAAAGAAACAGCGGGTAGAACCGCAAAGTGTAGCTTAGAAATGTAAATGCAGTCAGAGTGTACAATCCCAGTGATACTTCTAGTGTGGCAATGAAATGGCTTTCCACTGAAAAGCATGTTGGGGAGAGATGAGCGGGCAGACAGCTGGCAAGGCCCCCAGTGACACCAGTCTCCCTCCATAGTCAATCATAGCCAATGACAGCTTTCAACTGAAACTGGAAAATCAGATTCCACTGTTTTTCTGTCTCTGTGGCCTCTCTTCAAAGAGCTGCTGCCAGCCAGAGTAAACAATACTGACCTCGATAGACCAAGGATCTGACACAGTAGAAGGCAGCTGCATGAGTCAGGCCTTCTCTAGCTTTATCGCCCTCCTTCTCTGCCAGCGTGCCCAGCGGGTGAGGGAGCCTTGAGCCAGCTTTGGCTTCCTGAATGTTGTTGCAATAAGCTACAGTCATTGCAAAATGAGAAGAGACTGAGAAAGCTGGGGCAATGGATGATAGCAGAAGGGCAGGCAGGAAATCTCTGAGAAAGGGAGAAAAGAAATCCATCTCTGACAAAACAAACACAACAGGTCCCATTGAAGCCATGCCAATAGTGCACGATGGCTATGCATCACATCTTGTCTCCTTCTGGAACGGTTCTTCCTTTCAAGCTTGCTTCAGTCTGTAAAGCATTACTAGAGCCAGAGGTGAGGCCCAGACATGTAAATGAGGAGGGAGTGAGGCGTCCAAGCTGTGCTGTGTGCAGCATCCCCCAAGCCTCCCTTGCAGTTGTAGAATGTCTACCTCCCCCTTGGGCAGTCTTCAGTCCTGTGGTCCCTTCCCAGAAGACTAGGAGAGGGAGCATGGCCCATTACCTCACACATGTACAGCAGGATCTCATGGTTCCAGAGGGAGAGTTTGTTGCACCAAAAGTCAACAGGGGTCTTGTGGCAACCTAAAGACTTAACAGAATTGTATTGCGGGTCCCTTGTTGACTAGAGCCCACTTCTGCAGCAGCAATGTGCACCTCCTTGATTTTTGCCTCTGAAGATTTGGGGGTGGGGTCTAACCCCCATTAGCATATTTTTGTTCCAACATAAGCTTATCTTTAAGGCACCACAAGATTCCTGTATATACAACAGATTACTTTCTCTTCCCATCACAGTGCAGACTTTGGGGGATCACTGAATACTTTGGCAAGAAGCCCAGAATTTCTGTAGCAGTGAGGGAAAAATAAGCTTGGCAGAAAAGAAAGAATTTTGACAGTTCAGATCCTTGGAATTTCCAGCTTTCAGCGTTGCTATAGGGTTGGAGAAAAATGTCCTGTCCCTTTAATAAAGACTTAATTTGGCTTAAGACCTCTGGTCAATGAAGCTAATAAATGAAAGGAAAAGGAATAAAGACTTAATGGGACATTATTTACCAGACAATGTGATGTTACCTCTATGCCATGAAAAGTTTCAGCTGCCCATTTCCACACATTAAGTTCCTCTTAAAGGGACTCCCCCCCCTCCACAGCCGTCTGAGAACCATAACTACAGGCCATCTCTGTGGGGGCCACTCAGCTGAGACCCTGCCTGTTAACCTTTTGTCTTCTATAAAATACCAGTAGAGGTCACTGGTGAGTTGACACAAAAGCTCAGGGCCATGGAAGCAACCAATTCAATTAGTCAAACAGCTGCTCTCCTGCTGCCAGAACTTCAGGGCATGGTTCTGTTTCTGTTACAACAGTATATGGAGAAACAGAATGGTTTCCAATTGGCAAAGGTGTCAAAGATGTAGTTTATCTTCCTGTTTCTTCACTTATTATTATTTATTATTTTTTGGATTTTTATTCCACCCTCCCCAAAGCGCGGTCAGAGCAGATCACAACAAGCAGAGTCAAAGACTCATTACAATAAATTACAGGGCTCTTTTTGTAGAAAAAACCCAGCAGGAACTTATTAGCATAATAGGCCACACCCAACAGCAGAAACTCATTAGCATATTAGGCTACACCCCTAACAGCACAGCTCATTAGCACATTAGGCCGCACCCACATGTTACCAGAAGTGTGGTTATCCAGCCACACCCACCTTTTGCTTCTTATTCTGTTTACCTTGTTTGTTGTCAAAACCCAGGGCTTTTTTGGTAGCAGGAACTCCTTTGCATGTTAGGCCACACACCCCTAATGTAGCCAATGCTAATGAGTTTCTGCTGTTGGATGTGGCCTATTGTGCTAATGAGTTCCTGCTGGGCGTGGCCGACTCGGGAGCCAGCCGGAACTCCGTTCCTGTGCGTTCCTGCCCCAAAATAGCCCTGAATTTACATTAAAATTGTTAAAACAGTAAAATTCAGAGGTAGCAGCAAATTACATAAAAAGAAAAAGACTGTTAGGGTCATATAGGTGGAATCAATGAGCACTTCAGTAGATTGGGAACTAAAGCCTGTAAATTAAATGGCTTGTCCACCGCTGGAACACTGGAAGTAAAGTTTTGAGTCACAAAGGACTCTTGGAGGAAGAGGGGAAAATAAAATATTACTAGATCCAGATGCAGAGTGCTGCTGCATTTTTAAGAATTGCACAGGATAAGAGTTTGCCCAGGTGTTGTTATTCAAATCTTTATACTGCCTTAACAGAAGAAGTTATGCATAATAGCACTTTCCTCTCAGTTAATTCTTAAAGGTACAGGAGTCCTAAGGCTCCGGATGGAAAATAAGTGTCGATTCTATTGTGTGGCTGCACTGTCTTAACGACTACAATACTCAACATATCATATTTCAGATAAACTTGCATAGGATGGAGGTGAAAGTGTCAGTCTGATACCATTTGTGTTTACACAGAAAGAAATTGCAGTGGTCCCTGGGGCTTACTCCCAGATAAAACCAGGTGGGTAGCGTTATGTCTTGTTCTGTATTAAAACACATGTTAAGCTTGAAACCATGTCAAGGATTGTAAGCTGCAACAATTCTATTGGCTGTTGTGTAAAATCATCCAATCAGAATGAAGAGAGATGTTCTGGAGGGAACAGATCCCTGTATTATAATTGGTCCTTAACTGGACTAGGGGGTGGTTACACCAGCCTGGACAATTTAAAAGGGAGCTGTGCTCCACTATATTTGTGTGTGTTCTCTGAATGTTCTTGTTATCTCTTAATAAAGCTGAATCACTGTTTGATTAAGAGACAGTGTTGAGTTCCATACTTAACAATTAGCCCAGTCGGTCAAACAAAGTTTGAGTCCAGTGGCACCTTTAAGACCAACAAAGTTTTATTCAAGGTATAAACTTTCTTGCGCAAACACACTCGTGTATCTGAAGAAGTGTGCATGCGCATGAAAGCTTATACCCTGAATAAAACTTTGTTGGTTTTAAAAGCGCCATCGGACTCAAACTTTGTTCTTTTCCCAAATAAAACGAGCATTAAGCACAGGCTGTAGGGAAGGTATTAAAGAGAGTAGGCTCAACCGAGCTTCAAAAAAAGTTATCAGAGTTCCTTCGGTCACCTGCAACCCGATCGCCGTGATTTCGATGGGACTTACTCCCAAGAACGGAGTCGATCTAAAAAAAAAAAAAATTAATGGAAAGGATTGCAGCCATACGCACACTGACGAGCATGCTCACTGACTTTTCTGGTGCTTTCCTTTCCATGCGAGCGCCGCTGCCATTCTAACGCGTATTGAAAAGACCCTGATGCTGGGAAAGATTGAAGGTCAAAGAAGACGGGGACGGCAAAGGATGAGATGGTTAGGCAGTGTCATCGATGCAACGAACATGAAGTTGAGCCAACTTCAGAGGACGGCGGAAGACCGGAAGGCCTGGCGAGAGTTCGTCCATGGGGTCGCGAAGAGTCGGACTCGACTGTGCGACTGAACAACAACAACAAGGCGCCGTTCAGTTCAACAGGATTGCCTTCCGAGTAAACCCGCATAGACCAGGACGGTTCCGCAACCTGGCCTGGCCAATCACCGGCTCTGCTGTGCTTGCGCGTTACTTACGAAGGAAGTCCTCTCGGGGCGCGCGGCTTTGTCTTTAAGTGGCTCTCGGCCAAAACGCGGCTCTCGCGGCCCAGAGACAGCTTAGCGCTGGCCCCACGTGACTGCAATTGAAAGCTTCGGCAGCCAGCAGCTGAGGGAAGGAGGGGAAAAACTTACAAGAGATCGGAGAGCAGCGCTTCTAGTCGCTTACCCAGCAGAGCAGTTCCAGCTGGCAGGATTTGATATGAAACTGACCAGAAGACACAGGGGGAATTAAATCCGATCGCAAGTTTTCCACGTCTTCGGCTTTGCTTATTGCTGCCCGCCCTCCTTTTAATGCTCCTCTTTCTTTTTTCCTTTGGATGATTTTTGCCTCTGCCTGCAACAGTTCTTCCCGATCTCTAAAGGTATCGTGTTTTCCAACATGCCTGAGCAGATCAGTGTCTCAGAGTTCGTGGCTGTGACTTCGGAGGATCTCAGTTCGCCGGCCGCCTCCACCTTCTCCTCCAAAATGCAAAAGTGTAGGGGAGCAGTGGTGGCGTTGGAAGAGGTGAGTGGCCGGGACTCGGGAGCAGGTCCCAGCTGAAGGGTTTAACGTTCCCAAACTTGAGAAAGGGCGGCTACGGAAGATAGTGCCTTACCTATAGGTTGAAACTTGCTCCGACCTTTAAAGGTGGTGGGCTCGACTTTCCTTTTGTTTTGTGGCGAAATGGTGTCGGGCGCGCGCCTTTAGTTCCGCGTTCCTAGCGCGTAGCCACTTTCCCTGTAAAACCAAGTCCTATGCACGGTTTACCGGGACTCTCTGGAAAATGGATTTTTAAAATGGTGTGTGTGTAAGCGCAAACAGAAGCCATTTGTGATTTTGGCATTCATTTCTCTGGATTCACTAATGCACGAAATCTGCGCTACCATAAAAACGTGCTGGTCTGTAAGACACCACAAGACTCTTTTGTTTTATGGAAGCAAATTTAACTTGCTGCTCTTCCCGTCCAGCAAACGACGGATCCGTTCTCCCCTGTCTCAGCTGTAGGTTTTGCAGGTAACTTTTAAATGCAGTAAAACCACTTAATTAAAAAAGAATGTTGTCATTGTCACTAGTTTAAGAAAACTAACAACAGGTTATAGTAATCCCTTCCAAGGGTGTAGACTTTCCAATTTCCCGGGGGGGGGGGCTGGGGCTCGACCAGAGGCATTGCTTTGCTAGGAGCAAGGGTGGCTCCCGGGGGAGGCTGAGTACCTTCCTGAAAATTTCGGCGGGGGCTCACGCCCCGCCGCCCCCACGAAGATTACGCCTATGATCCCTTCTCAGTCTAACAATCCCAGAGACATAAAGCAGCCAAACTGGCCTTGATCAAGACTCTCTTGGTAGAAAGCCAAGGTGTTGTGCTAGGATGTGGGAGACAGTGACCCATGTTCCATTCCCTACTCTGTATAGAAGCTTGCTGGGTGACCTGGAGCTAGTCACACACAGTCAGGCTCAGTGTTCTCTCTAAGCTGAGTTAGTGTGAGCTGGCTCACACATTTTTGTCTTCGCTCAGGAAGGATGGCTCCAGAGCAGAGTTCCCTCTAAGCTGAGTTAGTGTGAGCTCGCTCAGTTTTTTAGCCTCCAGCTCACACATTTTTGTCTTCGCTCAGGAAGGATGGCTCCAGAGCAGAGTTCCCTCTAAGCTGAGTTAGTGTGAGCTCGCTCAGTTTTTTAGCCTCCAGCTCACACATTTTTGTCTTCGCTCAGGAAGGATGGCTCCAGAGCAGAGTTCCCTCTAAGCTGAGTTAGTGTGAGCTCGCTCAGTTTTTTAGCCTCCAGCTCACACATTTTTGTCTTCGCTCAGGAAGGATGGCTCCAGAGCAGAGTTCCCTCTAAGCTGAGTTAGTGTGAGCTCGCTCAGTTTTTTAGCCTCCAGCTCACACATTTTTGTCTTCGCTCAGGAAGGATGGCTCCAGAGCAGAGTTCCCTCTAAGCTGAGTTAGTGTGAGCTAGCTCACAGGTTTTTAGCCTCCGGCTCACAAATAAGCAAAAACAAAACAGAGACGAAGATCCAGAAAGAACGGCAAACCAAGAGACCAAGTGATCTACCTCTGACAATGTTCCCTCTAAGCTGAGTTAGTGTGAGCTAGCTCAGTTTTTTAGCCTCCAGCTCACACATTTTTGTCTTCGCTCAGGAAGGATGGCTCCAGAGCAAACTAATTTATGCAGTAGCCAAATCGCTTGTTCACAACTGTAATGCCAGTAGCTTATAAAGTAGAATTTTTGCTCACAGGACTCCACAGCTTAGAGGGAGCGTTGCTCCAGAGCAAACTAATTCATGCAGCAGCCAAATCGCTCACTCACAACTTTTACACCAGTAGCTCACAAAGTAGAATTTTTGCTCACAGGACTTCACAACTTAGAGGGAGCATTGGTCAGGCTAACCCGCTTCACAGGATTGTTGTGAGGATAAAATGGAGGAGAGAAGAATAGTGTAAATTGCCTTGGGTCTCCATTGTAGGACGAGGAGGAGGAGATTGGATTTATACCCCACCCTTCACTACCTGAAGGAGTGTCAGAGCGGCTTAAAAACTCCCTTTCCCTCCCCACAACAGACTCCCTGTGCGGTAGGTGGGGCGCTCTTTCCAGAACTGTCCTTGAGAGAACAGCTGTGCCAGAACTATAGCTTGCCCAAGGTCATCCAGCAGGTGCAAGTGGAGGAATGGGGAATCAAACCTGGTTCTCCCAGATTAGAGTCCACGCACTTAACCACTACACCAAACTAGCCACTGATTTCCAGTAACAGGATGCGTCTCCTGAAGAACATGTAGCTGAAGAACTCAGATATTACCATGGTAGCTTGTCCATGCTCTGCTTCATTGGCTGTCGTTCATGTTTGGTGTGGAGAACAATAATGCAATCATGTGAAATTGCCCTCGTCTTTTCATAGGATGCTTACTTTAAACAGTATTTAAATTGGGGATCCGTGGATAACGGAGGCATGAGAAATTTCCCCTCTGTTCCAAATCTTGTCCTCCCAGGTACTGTAAGCTCTTAGTGGCTTGAGCAGGTCCAATAGTTCCTCCTACTTTCTTCTTTATCTAATATGCAACTGCCCATTCTGCCTCCTGGAGGGCAATGAGCATGCTCAATTCTCATCAGGCCATTTTTGGGGAAAGGGCTTAATGTACAAGCCTTTATTCTGCATGCATGGAGAGTCTCCAAGTCTTCAGAAAACCTCCCTTCCTCTGTGGGTGGTCTTGTGCTCAGCCATTAAGTTATACTCTTACAAGTGATACTTGACATTTATATAGTGCTTTTGGTGTTCACAGGACTCCTGTGATCCTTTTAGCAGCTCTGTAAGGTAGGCTGTTGTTACTACACTCTTTGTAGATGGAGGGGGTGGGCTGATGCTGAAAGTGAGTGGCTGGCCGAAGGCCAACTAGTACATTAGTGGCTAATTTGAGAGATTGGAGCCTGTGGCCTCTTAGATTCATTCCCTTATTAAATGCCCAAATTGGCCTTAGATACCTAAACCATAACTTTGGCTACTGAAAAGATCTCTCTTTAGTAGTATGTTTGTTAATCAAGAAGATATTGCCTGGCACTCATAAAGAAAAATAAGAATTAAAAAAATCATAAAATCATTGACATTAAATAAATGCTTAAAATTGAGAACACGAAGCAGCATAAAAAGGCAGCTCATTGGATCATTACTTCTGCTTTAAAAGGAATTAAGCTCGGGACATTTTGTGTGTTTGACACTGCTGGAATGTTTCTTAGTCTAAGTGTGCAGGGTATTCTTTTTATTCTATAAAACATTTGTCCAGGGTTTGAGATTAGAAGACCATTGCTTTTTCCTTTGAGTGTATTTGGGATTCATCGATGGTCAGTAGGGTAGGACAGGAACCTCTTTCTGTCTTGCCCTCCAGTGGATAAGAAGGGCAGAGTGGGGTAGCCATGTTAGTCCATTGTAGCAAAATAAAACAGAAGAAGAAGAGGAGGAGGAGATTGGATTTATACCCCGCCCTTCACTTGGAGTCTCAGAGCGGCTTACAAACTCCTTTCCCTTCCCCTCCCCACAACAGACACCCTGTGAGGTGGGTGTGGCTGAGAGAGCTCTTGACAGAAACTGCTCTTTTCCAAGAAAAAGCTGTGCTAGAGTTATGGCTTGCCCAAGGTCATCCAGCCAGGTGCAAGTGGAGGAGTGGGGAATCAAACCCGGTTCTCCCAGATTAGAGTCCGCGCACTTAACCACTACACCAAACTGAAATCCAGTGGCACCTTAAAGATGAACAACATTTATTCTGGCATAAGTTTTTTCAGATGCTGATTTTTATAAGAGAAGATCACAGAGGGGGGAGAAGGAAGAGGATGAGTTGGAGCGGAAAGAGGCTTGGCGTGGTTCACTGTGAAAGGGACTGCACAGATTTAGTTGTTGCACAAAACGGATTATGAGAAAGATTAGGGGTTTCAGCCTCTCATGGGGTACAGATAAACTAAGTGTTAATGACATAGAACAACAAGTCAAGGAAGAAGCGGTCTGCAACATGAGAAAATTAACTCGCATCATTCAAGGATTATAGTATGATAAAACATGTGAAGAAGAGCGAGCCACTTAATATTTCTAAAAAGCGGGTCTGGCTGAACGATTTGCAATTATAGTGAGTAAGGAAATCCCAGTCTCTGTTTAGGCTGGGGTGAGAGAGAGTATTTAATCCCAGTACTTTTGTGTTGTACTTCCCTTTGAAGATTTTGTGTGTGTGGGGGGGGGGGGAGGGTAGAACATTGACTTCCAGATCTGCAATGGTACGTCCAGGAAGATTAAAATGATCCCCCACTGGTTTCTTAATGTAGTGTATGAGTGTTCAATAACTTTGTATTCATTGATTCTCTACTTTGGACAGATTGGTCCCTATGTGAGATAGTAGAAGGGCATAGCTGCCAGATGATGGCATATTGAATGATGAGCAAATGGGTGAGCCTGATGGCGTGCTGATACTATTAGGCTCTGTGATGGTGTCGCCTGAGTGTGCGTGGGGACAAAGCCGGCATCCAGGTCTGTTGCAAGGTTCCTGCACTTGTGTCGTTTCTGTGCCCATTGCTGCTGTTAAGCAGATGTTTTTGGTCATGAGGCTGCCTGTAAATGAGGAAAGGCCTGCCTGCCACCCAAGGCCTGTGAAAGAGAAATATCCTTATCCAGCGGAGACTGTAGGTGACTGACGAATCATTGAACTGTTTTAAATTGTAAGCTGTAGGTGACAACCTGTTGTGTTCTGTCACTAGCTTTTGTGGATCTGTCTTGTAGCAGGCTGATTCCTTCTTTAGGAGGGTATTGTAATCTTAAGGATATTTGTTGAAAATCCTTCAGGTAAGAGTATTTGTCTAAAGAATTGGAGCAAGTGCAATTGTAACACAGTGCTTAACTGTAGTCTATGGATTGTTTTTTTATGTTCCAGGTGGTGGCTGAAAGCATACAGGTATATTTGGTGATTGGCAGGTTTTTGATATAAGGTAATGCTTGTGTGTCCATTGCAGCTTCACAGTGGTGTCCAGGAAATGTACCTGTTGTGTGAACTGGTCTA